GCCTTGTGCGCGCGCAGCCGGCAGCCGCACACCTCGAGCACCAGGTCCGGCTCCCCGTGCGGGGCCCCGACGCCGGGGGGCACGGGCGGGGGCTCCCCGAGCTCCTCTAGGGACGCCGCGGGCTCTTCCCGGCGCGCGCGCTCCTCGGGGGTCACAGGCTCCTCCTGGGGCACGGAGTCCTGCGGGGACACGAGCTCTTCCGGGCGCGCGGGATCCTCCGGGGACACGGGATCCTCCTGCGACACAGGCTCCTCCAGCGACGCGGTGTCCTCCGGGGTCGCGCGCTCCCCCGGGGACGCGGCGCCCACACCGCTGGCCGCCCACTGCGTCTGCACCACGCGCGAGGGCGGGGAGGCCGCGGCGTCCTGCGCGGCGGCGGCGCTCGACTGCGGCGGGGACTCGTCCCCGGAGCTGAAACACAGGGACGCGCGCAGGCTGCAGGGAGTCTGTGCCGGCGACGGGGACAGAGACGCAGAGCCCTCCCCTGCAGCAACGTCCTGCGGCGGCAGGCTGCCCTCTCCCGGAGCCCCGCGCGCGCGGTCCTCTCCGGGGTAGAGGACGCAGGCCACTGAGTTCTCCATGGCTGGCCGAGCCTTGCCGCTGCGGAGTCTCAAAACTCACACGCTTTCCTGGCACACGATCAGATTTCACTTCTGTCCGCACTTTTTTCTCGCCTGCGCAGCCTCCCGTCCTTGGAGGAGGGCGCGCCCTGCGGGTGTGTGCACAGGGCTGGCAGCACAGCCCTGTTCCTTGTGATTTCATTCGCGTTAAGGCAAAGGTCAGCAGGAGGGCACCACCCGTGTCCTGGGCTCTGGCCGCGGGCACCCGCGCCGGTCACCTGGGGAAGCCCATACTGCACCAGCCAGGTGGTGTCAGGAAGCGATCTCTGCACAGCTCTGCAGCCCTCCTCATCTATCAGCCTTCCTGACTTCCTGTGTCAGGCAGCAGCGTTTCCGAATCATTCATGTTCTTCTTCCTGTTTGTAGGAGAAAAAAGAGGTTTGAATTTGCATTGTTCCCTGGGCTTGTGGATGTGGTGTCGGTATAGCTACCAAGGCCCCCACCCTGGTTCCAGAGCGCAGTCCAGTTCTGGTGGTCAAGGGCATGATGCGTTCTCGCTGCTGCAGAGCTGTCTGTAGTGTCCCCTCCCTTTTCCTCTCCAAGTGCAGGGGACTAGGAAGGACAGCCCGGTTCAAGCAAGAGGCGTTCCCAAACATGGCCTTAAAGACCCAGGTGGAGCTGAACGGAATCGCTAGTTCTGTGGGTCCGAAGCAGCCAGACATCAGGAGCTTCACATTTTCCTAGAGCAGGCCACTAGGTGGAGCAGGGACTCCTCCGCGTTGGGCACAGCTGGGCTGGGTGGTCTGTCATACGGGAGGCCTTCCAGGCTCTCCGACCCAGCCTGCTCTGACTCGGTCACAAGCGTCTGTGGGAGGCGCAGGACCGCTCACTGCCGCCCACCTCAGCGAGGACCCCAGGGGCTGCAGACCCTGTGCCCATCTGGTGCTTCTTGGAACCGCATCTCTGAGAACCTCAGAGAAACCATCACCCAACTGCCTAGACCTCGAAGAAGAAAAGCCACACTGGAGAGGGAGCACAGGCAGGCAGAGGCGCTCAGCGGGGAACTGGGGAACCACACGCCACCTGACAGAATGTCTGCTAGCGGGCAGGCGCGGGCGGCCACCTGACCTGCAGAGAGCACAGGGGCTGGGGCACATCGTCCTCACAGGGAACGTGTGTCCACCTCAGGCAAGGCAGACAAGCCGTGCTCAGGGCCTTCCCTCATCCGCTGTTTACTTCCCGTGATGCGACTCTAGGCCCCAAGAACGCCCAGCGTGAAGCTACAGGAAGTGTCCCACCCCGCTGCTGCGGCGCTGCAGGGAAAGCTTCCTCGGTACTCTCAGCAGGGAGTGCTGTCTTCAGGCTGGAAGGGGAGGACGAGTTCAGTTCCCGCCCTCCCTGCCTGCTGCTGTCTTCAGCCACGCTGTGTGCTCAGGTCCTTCAGACTCTAATGCTAGGCACAAAGATGCTGAACATGGCCCGACACCCTGGTTTGTGGACTCAGCTGTGACTGACCCGACGGGGCCCTGTCCAGCCTCAGTGGCAGGGGGACTCTGACCCACAGCACAAGGATGTGAGCATGCATGTGGGAGATGAGGCGCAGGCTTAGCCCTGGACCACCGCCCGCAGGCACCCTGGTGAGAGCACCCGGGTGACAGCGTGAGCATGTACTCGGTGGGAGCGCTCAGCAGGGACGTTTTCCGTTGTCCCTACCGAACAAGCTGCATGAGAGCTGTGTCCAGGGCTGCCGGGCGCAGGTGGAGCCTAGGAAGGGCTGCCGTCCAGGAAGGACATCTGGCACAGAGCTGGCATCACTGCCACTCAGGGAGGAAGGGCAGGCAGAGCTCAGCTACCTCCCAAAGCAGCCCATGCTCACACTGCTGTCCTGAAGCGTGGTCCAGCAGAGGTGTGGCTTTACAGCATCCGGTGGGCTGGGCACGGCCCACTTGCGCAGTCTCCCCGGGGCTGACCCAGGAAAGCCGTTCCTGAGACCCGACAGGGACCTTCTGCACTCAGTCGCCCAGCAGACGAACAGGGCCTGTCTGCCACACTAGAGCGGAGCTGGTAGTGGACACACCCGTGTCAGGCACGGCACAAGATCTGCAGTGACCACGTGCAGGCCTGAGGGCCATGCGGCAAGTGTCCCTCCTTGGGGCAGCATTGCACTTCTGAAAGCTGTTTCCGGGTGCTGGGAGTGGCTGCTGCTTGGGTGTCTCCACTGCCCCAAAGAGACTGTCCAGGCAGGATGAGGCTGCCCAAGGTTATAATGACCCCTCTTCTCCTGTTAGTGACTATAGCTCAGCATGGACAGACGAGTCACCCACCATGTAGCTCACATCCCCATAGGTATGGAGATCGGCCTGCCCCTGCCCCTCCATGTCCCATGTCCAGCCGTGCTCCACAGCGAGCTCTGACCCTGCAGTGCAGCTACACCAAGAATACTTGAAATAACCATGCTCCTTATTACCCCTAAGCCACAGCAGCTTTATGTAGGACTTAAACACAGAACAAAACAGCAGTGCTTTCTATCAGACAGTCCTGAGACGTCAACTGCTCTGCTGAGGCCCGACAGGGAGCCAGGGACTTCCAGAGGGCTCCCCGTCCTGCGGCTGGCTCCAGGGTCAGTTCCCCAAGAGGTTCTGCCCATCCCGTTATGTGCTGTGACGAGACTCCCGGGCTGGCCATAGCACTGGGGAGGGTTTTCTCCCTAAGTGAGCCTCACTGTGTCCCAGCACCACTTTCGGGGTTGGTAAGTCAGGACTCTAGCACCCCCGTTGCTGGGAGCAGGGGCGGGCTCCCTTCTACACTGCAGGGAGGGACTGTCAGAGCCACTGCAACGAATGTAACGTGCGTGGCATTTCCTGCTGCAGAACAGACGTTTCTTCTGGGCTTTATATAAAATGCCTGAACAAAAAAGTTTCTTAAAGTTCCCATTTCTTCACTTTTCATGTGAATTAAAAACATAAGACTAGTATATCCTTTCCTTACATGCACATTAGCTTATATATTTGATGTGGATATTAGCATATTCAGAATTAAATGTCATACTCCATTATACTAACACCAGTTGCTAAAAATAATTTCCCTTTCAAATAGTTGTAGCAGCCGAATTCTTAAAAGTTAGCAAGGGGTGCCCAGCCAGCTCAGTCGGTAGAGCACGAGACTTAAAAGTCAGCAGACTTGGGAAGCTTGCGTGGACCTGTGACGCAGGTGCTTTGAGGCCAGCCTTCCCCGGGGACACGTGGGCATGGTGCTGCCCCCCACCCCCCGCACAGATCCCAGCCCCCAGAATTTATGTAGTCATGAGCCAATACATTAGGAGGTTGCAAAAGAAAATACAATAATCATGTGGAAAACAAAAGAAAACCTAGTCTTAGAAACCTGCAAGGGACTGGTGGTGTAGCTCAGTGACTGAGTGCTTGCCTAGATGATGTACACAGCCCTGAGTTCAATCCCCACTACCACAAAAAGGAAACTTTTGAGGACGCTCAGGACCGCTGCTTCTGTGCAGTTTGCACTCAGCTGTGCACCAAGTGCTGGCCCAAAGAGAAGCAGCCAGTGCTGCCGTGTGCACAGCGGCCCAGGAGGGGACCCAGAGCCTGGTGAGGGGACCTGCCACCGGTTCCCACCTGCCCTGCACACCAGAGCCCAGAACACAGTTTCGGAGGACGTGACACAGTCCAGGAGGCCACAGTCCCAGGCCAGCCAGGAGGAAGCGCTGCACATTTTGACATGACCCACACCCCGCTAGGACCCAGCTGGTTCTGGGGACCAGGGACACAGCCTCTTTGGGTCAGGCCCTGGAGGTGAGAGACAGCTTGGCAGGGAGACTGCACTGAGCAAAGGCGCCCACCACCACTTTGGGGAGCATTTTCAGCGCAGTTAGAAACAGAGTGGGTGTCTGGGGGTCCTGTGCTGAGTGATTAAATGAGAAGGGGCGTCCACCCTTAACTGGGGACATTGATTAGTGCTCCCCCGACCCGGGGCACAGTCTCCCGTCTTCCCACCTGCTGCTGATGAAGGAGTCTGAGCCGGGATAGGCTGGGACTTAACGCTGAGGCTGACTTCGTCAGGCCCCTGTGTTCCTCCGTGTCCACACCGGGCCTGGAAGCCACGCTGCTGGGCAGGGGCCTTCCCTCAGCCCATTCAGAGACGGGTGAGATCCGAGTCACTGACCGCCCCACCACTGCCTTCTCCGAGTTTACTGAAGGGTGTGCGTGGGAAGCAGCTCCCTTGAGGACACTGAGAGTGTCCCCAAGCAGAGCTGTGTGCAGACGTTCTTACAGCCCTGCCCTGAGGTCTCAGGACATCTCTGGGTTGCCTTCATCTCTGGATGCCCACCCTCCAACCCCTGACCCCTCAGTCTCCTAGGTCAGTTCTGCTCCCCACAACGGTCCTCAGTGAACTGGGGAGGTGCACGCAACACTTGCTTTCTCCTGGGTGCAGGAGTCCCGCAGTTGCTTGTCATTCTTGTCTCCAAACGCCTGCCTTGTAATAGGGTCCACCGGCAGAGCCCCTGCTGGGCTCGGGAATGTCCTCATGCTCTGCTTGCAGGGAGGGTCCAAGCCAGGCCAGGAATCCTGGACAGCTCACCTGGGTGAAGGACGGGAAAGGCCAGATTGCTGAAGACCCAAACACTAGGAGAACACCGTGCACAGGCTCGTGCAGAGGTCAGTGCAGGGCGGGCTTTGTGGTCAGATGCCTCCTGCTGGAATCCTGGCAAGGAAGTTACGCACGGTCTCTGCACTCTGGATCCTGCTGACAAGGGTGTGTCATGGGAGCACCCGTGGGCCTGTCCCCATGTCAGCAGCATGCCCTCTGTGTCAGGCATGTGCAGACCTGACTGTCCTCAGCCCCAGCTTGGAGGCCCCAGTCCAGCAGCTACTTGCCAGTTATCTGTAGATCGGAGATGGTGATGGCTCCTCAGCACCCCTTGCTCTGTCCTGTAGGGAGAGGCCATCCCAGTGAAGTTGCCCTGAGGACCAGGTCCACAGCCATGGGGATGGGTGTGAGCTCCAGCCCTACCCTGGTGAGAACCACAGGACTCAGCAGCACACACCTGGCCCACGCCCGCCATGGTACCAGGCCTGGTGATGCCCAGGCTTCCTGTTACTGCTGATGGTGACACCCAGGGCTGCCCCGGGGAGCAGAGGAGGTGGGAGAGTTGCTCTTCAGGAAGCAAACACTCTGCCTGGCCTACAGAAGGAGCAAAGCAAGGCAGCTCTGCCGGCCACGTTTTGGTCACAAAGCCACGGCCCTCACTGCAGTCAGACTCCGACATACGGAAGGATGGCACGGAGGAGATGAATCACGTGTCTCTGTGCCCCACCCTGCGAGCCATGCTCTAAGTTTCTGAGTGTGGCCCAGAGCGAGACCCAGAGGGCTCTGAATCAGAAGCACCCGCCCTTCCTGGGCT